AGCCCTAGAAATAAGAGAAAAAATATTATTTTTTTTGAAAGGGTGAAACCCTAGTTTTTGATTTAAAAGAAAATAATGTTTTCTATTATTTTATCCATTCTTTTATACAAGAAAATAATAACTAATATTATATACAAATATTAAAAATTAAAATATGTATGAAAATGAATATTTGTGTATAAAATAATAAAAAAAATGTATAGTATTTATTAAATATATTTACAATTTATTTAAGAAAATAAAGTCCATTATCCTAGTAAGCTATTATTTTTATGCAAAAAATAATAATAAAATAAAATAAAATTACAAAAAATAAAGAAAATATTTTTCATGATTTTTTATGGTTCAGAAAAATAAATAAAAACAATAAATATAAAAATGAAAAGAAAATATGAAAAATAAACAAAATAAAGCCAGGGGGTGTGGATATCAAGTCAGGGGGTGCAAAAATCAAAATAGAAAGGCCCAAGGCACCAAAGGCCCAGGACAGTCGTCCCTGTCCTCCAACTCCCTCCTGCGCGTGTGTTTTGCTTCAAATATGTATCTCTCTATTGCTTGCATAAAAACAAAAACCCATAACATAAAACATGTAGCTTGTAATCTCACGATTCCAATGATATAAAATTTGTAACCTAACTCTCAAAGATCAGAGAGAATTTAATCAGCCCTAATTCGTGACCTAACTATTTCATGAACTTCAAGCTTTAAATTCTCACAGCATGGTTAATATAAATGGCAAGTATGCATATGTACAACTTCATCATGATTAGGACTACATTTTTTCTTCACAAATCGTGGCTTAAGGATGCCTAAATAGAGAGATAAAGTTTTGAAAAATACCTCCTTCAGCTGGATTTGGATATGGCAATGTGGGGACTTTGAGTGAGGCCTGAGGATCGTGTGAGCTTCCTTGAAATTCCCTCGAGCTATTCCAATGCTTATGGTGCTTTGTGGATGGCCAAAACTTCCTGTAGAAGTCAAGTTGCAAGCTTCCAAAGTGAAAATGGCAATGGCTGAAACAGGGGCTACAGGTGTAGGATGAATGCTTGGATACCTTTGGTAGTATATGTGGAAGATGTTTGAAGTGTTAAAAGGCAAAACGCACGAGCAAATATTGAGCTTGCTATGATTTTGTAGAAACTGGCAGTTTTGGCAGAAAAATGAAGTTTTGGAGTTTTGGAGAGTTTCAAATGTTAGGCTTTCGTGTCCTGGCTTGTGATAAGTTTGTGGATATGTATAGAATGATACAAAGTCCACTTTTCCCTTGTTGTACAAGTTCTGACCTCTTTGGCCAACTTTCTTGCATTTGAAGAAAAGTGACAAGACTTATGCCAACATGCTTGTACTGGCTAGTTCTTGAGCTGATGAAATTTGGTATACTTTGCTTGATACCTGTGGAAGTTGCCTGCACCAAAGTAACAAGTCCAAGGCTCAAGGCTGATAAAGTTGCAAAAGCTTGCGTTATGAAAATGGCATTGTGAACTTTTGGCCATTTATGGAATTATTTCTTGTATAATACTCCAAAAGAAAAGATAATGCCCTTATCCTATGAGTTTGCATTTAATTATGGAGTTTAGGACCTGTAATGCAAGGTACAAGCATCCTTGATCAAATTTGCAACTTGACACTTTGTAAAAATGGCTTGATCAAAAGTGACAAAATGCCAATTTCTCTTCTTCGATTATCCCTAACCACAAATGATCTTGGAGAGTTCTTGGACATTTTGGAAAGCTTGCAACATGCTATACAATCCATATTTGAAATACATTTTGATATACCTCTTGTAACTAGGTGAAAAATGTTCATAAAGTTGGGTCAAAATCCTGCCTAAATTAGGGCAAATTTTCACTAAGTTATTTAGTTCATGGACCCCTATTCACAAATTTATAAATTGAGATCCAAGCATATTTTGGAAAAACTTTGTGAAGAAAAGTTGTAGATTTTATGGAGGACTACAACTTTCATGTTGGAAGTTTTCTTTGAATCAAATTGCATCATGATGAAAAAGTGGTGAAAAGTTGGGAAAAAATAAGAAAATTTTCATACTTAGAAAAATTCTAAGTTATGAAAATTTTCAAATTCAAAACCCTAATTTTCAAAATTGGTTTTCTTGGTGAAAAAGTTTCATATTTTGACATATCTTGATGAATTATGACCCTTGGCAATTGATTTTGACCAAAAATTCAAAGTTTGACTTTTCAGTGTACAGTTGACTTTTGATCAGTTGATTGGAAAAATCATCTGTCAATCCTATTAACTTGAGATCTTTTGAACCATGTAATTAGGTCAAGATGATGCCATTGAATTCTTGAAATCATTTTTGAACCCAATTGGCCATTGGCTAGTTTAAAAAAAATCAGAAATTTCCCTTTCTCAGTCAAAACTCTAATTTTGACCATTTTGCCCTTTTGATGATTTGATCAAATTTCTTGAGGAGTTGTGACCCAAACTTGATCAAATGGTACATATGAGTCTAAAATATGGTTGTGGATCAAAAATCATGAAGTTTGACTTTAAATTGGCCATGGTTGACTTTTTCTCCAATACAGTTGATTTTTAGGTCAATTGTCCAATTGACTGATCAAAAATGTGATTCAAGGCTTGAAACTTAACATGAGAAATCTTAGGGGTCCAAGATGGTGTATGAAAGTCACATGAAGCATTGATGGTCCAAAAATCCTTGTGCAAACTCAAACCCTAATTTTGGGGTATTAGTGCAAGATGAGATGTCTTGAGCTGACCAAACCCTAATCCTGTCTTGAGTCCAAGAAGTCTTGTGAGAAAAGTCTTGATAAATGAGAGAGAAAATTTTGGGGTACAACACATACTATACTGGGAGGTAGTTGAAAGACTTCACCTCGACTCAGAAGATTTAAAGCCTTTCAAAGGATCGTTGGTAGGATTTTCTGAAGAACATGTACATGTAAAGGGATATATTACCTTAAGGACCACTTTTAGAGAGAAATATTAGGCTAAAGAAATAAAGGTTAGGTATCTAGTTATAGATTCCATCTCTTGTTACAATATAACTATAGGGCAACCAACTTATAACAGGTTGGGCGCTGCCTTGTCCATTTTATATTAATGCATGAAGTACCAGCTCCACATAGGGCGGGTAGGAGTTATAAAAGGAGATTATGAGATCTCTAGGAAGTGTTAGGCAGTAAGCTTTAAGTTAAAAGGATCCGCATTCTTTGCGAGAAGGCCAAGAGGATGAGCTCAGGAATAAAGCCCCTAGAAGAATTCTTTAAAGGCGTCGAGGCTTTCTCTCCTACCTCTGAGGAAACTAAAGGCTGGAGTGTTAGAGGACGACAACTTATCTAGATGGGGTGAATAGATCTCCTAAGAAAATTTTCACTTAAAAATTTGTTTCAAAATTTTAAACAAAAACTATGGCAAGCGGAAGTTGTATCCTAAATCACAAGTCCTCCAAACCAAACCGATTATTGGAGGCTCGTATATGCGTATAATCAATACTCAATTGAATGATGATAATAAGATCTTAATACAATAAACTATCAAGTAATTATTTTAAAATTACAACTTCAACCAATATCCAATGAAACAAATGATAAAAACTAAGTGAAACAATTTATCAAACACTACTTAGTGTGCAATTGGTAAAACTAAGTGAAACAATTTATCGAACACTTGGTGTGCACTTAATTTTTCAGATTATCCTTTAAACTTTATTGATACCAAATACCTCTTACAATCTAGTAGATTGTAAAATAATCAACAAAGAAATTTAACAATCAAAGGATTTTTCTATACGAATTAATTGCACAATCAAAGAGTTTAACAAATAGCTAGTAAAATGTAAATGATATATATATATATATATATATATATATATATATATATATATATATATATATATA